TGCCAAAGGAGGGTCTGGTGCGACAAAGCGCGACACGAGCAGGGGGCCGCTAGCTGACCTGACGCAAACGCAGACGCAGACGCAGCTACCTGAGGGGACAAAGTGGTCAGTGTGTACAGACTCGAGCCAGGCGCTCGGGTGAACGTGGCCAGGTGCCGACCAGTCCGGGAGCACGTACAGTGGGTCACACGCTGACCTCCAGGGGTGAACTGGTCAACCCACACATCCTGTAGGTCAGCTCCACTCACCAAGTTCGTAGAGAACGAGGGGAGGTGAAGACCTGACAGGGAGCCAGACGGGACCGCCGGACACGGCAGGACCGTGGAGGAGTGCGCAAGGACTGGACCCCCAGAGGGGTCTGCCAGGGAGACTGCAACCGGCCGACGGAGCGGCGTGAGGGTGGTGCTGTCGCGAAAGAAGGAGCGGGAAGCACCTGAGTCAAGTGTGAAGGTGTACAAGGCCTCAGCAGGCGCAGTACCAGAGAGAGCAGACTCACCAGCACCTGGAGCAGCAGCCTCACCAGTACCTAGAGCAGGAGACGCACTAGCACCTAGAGTAGCAGCCTCACCAGCACCTAGAGAAGCAGGCTCTATACCTGGGTCAGGTGGTACGCACAGGGAACAGGCACGGTCAGCACTAGTAGGCAATGCATACATGGCAGTGAGAATAGCATCATAGTCAAGAGCAAAGATATCTACCCTCTGTCCAAGCAGCTCCAGCCAGGTGGGGAGCTCAGCCTCGTCGCCAAACTCGGTACGCCAGGCGTCGCTCAGACGGGCGAAGCAGCGGGACTGTGTATGACCAAGCGTCCCGCAAGCCTGACCGGCCCGATCACCTGTGCGAATGACGTACGGGCAGCGAACGGTACTCAAAGACCCTCTACTCTGAGCGTACCACTCGTGAAGCTGCTGGGACGTAAGTGTCTCGCGTGGACGCCGCTGCAGCTGCAGCTGGCCACTGCCAGACGCTCCCAACTGACCAGCTCCAGGGCGACAGCTACGACGGCAACCGCCACAACCCCAACTAGCGTACCACTCACTAAGCTGCTGGGGCATGAGAGACTCGCGTGAACGTCGCTGGAGCTGCATCTGGCCACCGCCAGTAGCAGCAGTAGCAGTAGTAGTAGCAGCAGCAGCAGCAGCAGCCTAGCAGTAGTAGTAGCGCGGGCAGGGCAGGCGCGGCAGGCAGGCAGGCAGGCAGGCGTGGCAGGCAGGCAGGCAGGCAGGCAGGCAGGCAGGTAGGCAGGTGCTCACCAGTGGCGGGAAGGGCAGGCGCACGACAGCGGCGCGACAGCTGCGGCAGAGCAGGACCGCGTCGGAGGTAGGGCAGGTCCGCGACAGCTGCTGCAGGGCGGGGACGTGACGGCGGCAGAAGGCTCCACGGCAGCTGCTGCAGGGCAGGGCCGCGACGGCGGTAGGAGGCTCCGCAGCAGCTGCTGCAGGGCGGGGCCGCGACCGTGGCAGAAGGCTCCGCGGCAGCCGCAGCAGCTGCTGTAGGGCAGGGCCGCGACGGCGGCAGAAGGCTCCGCGGCAGCTGCTGCAGGGCGGGGCCGCGACTGTGGCAGGGCGCTCCGCGGCAGCTGCTGCAGGAGCGACAACAGCGTCCAGGGGCAGCCGCGGCGCGCGGGGCTGCAACGCGCTACGCGAGCTGCGGACGCGGCGCGCGAAGCCGCCGCGGGCTGCGCGAGGACGCCAGCCGCGGCGCGCGGGGCTGCAGCGCGACGCGCGGGCAGCGAACGCGACGCGCGGGGCTGCAGCGCGACGCGCGGGCAGCGGACGCGACGCGCGGGGCTGCAGCGCGACGCGCGGGCTGTGGGCGCGACGCGCGGGGCAGCGACCTGGCCTGGCGCGTCAGCGACCTGGCGGGGCGGCGCCCTGGCTTGACGGGCCTGCAGGGGCGGCTCGCGGGCCTGACGTGTCTGCAGGGGCGGCGCGTGGGCCTTACGGGCCTGCAGGGGCGGCGCTCTGGCCTAGGGCAGCAGTAGGCAGCACGAGGGCTGCAGGACGGCGCGCGCAGTGCAGCACGTCACAAGGCAAGGCAGGCAGGCAGGCAGGCGCAGGACAACACGTGGGGTAACGCGGTAACCGCAACGGTAGGTGGGCCCGAAAAAAAAACGGTCCTACAGACCTAGTGCTCTGAAACCATGTTAGAATCTAGCAGCAGGAATTGATTGAACTATAAAAGAGTTGGGTACAAGTATGAAACCCTAAAAGGGGCTGTACCCCATATTGGCTACCCCACTATAGCCTACACATATGTAACATGCATATACTTTGACACTTAGCTCTCCTTTGTGATCCTTTCCTTATGTTGAAAGCCTCCGTCAATTCCTGCCCCCTCCTGTGCTCGGGCTCGCGCAGCCTGAGCTCGCGTCACAGGACCTGTCTGCTGAGGCCTGCTTCCCTGCACCACTCCCGTGTTCGTCTAGTGATCTCGTTTCTGCTGGTTGCTCTCGTTCCCCATAACCATTACTCCCAACTCTTTGACCTCCTTTGCCCGCCAGGTAGACCTCATGTCCCTCTTGTACCTCTCTACCCTTCCATCCACGTCCTCTCTATTGCCTTTGCTCTTACCAGCTTGCACCCACAGCTGTGCAGGTTGTCCAATGCTGCTGGCAGCAGCTCCTCACAAATACCAGAGCTCTCTCCCATAAGGGGAATATAGTACTATTGGTTGGTACCAACCATAAGGGTTTCATTCTTAGAACTCTTGTAAGAACCCAGATTGGAAGATGAGCTTCCATAGCCCTCAAAATGATTTGACAACACATTCGGTCACATCTTACAGAACTAGCACCAACACATTAGTAAACATAGGTCATTTCAAACTCTTATTCGAACCTGCCTACTAGCACAGCAGACGCATTAACAGGGTTTACACTAATCTAATTGGACTCTATGGCCGCACTGATGCACTATGCATCTCAAAACGAGCTCGCGGCGAAACGCTGCCACGCGAGCAGGATCGCATCTATGGAGTAAAAACTGCGCATCTAGTCGCGCTTGATGTTGATGAGCGGCTTGCCGATGTACATTATCTCGCGATCGACCATGCCGTTGAAGAGCACCGCGAACGACGCGTACCACGCTGCACAAGCACGAGGGGCACACGAGGAGGCACGGGAATCATGGTTAGGCAGCTTGTCCAACAAGATCGTCGGAGTGCCCCATCCCGTGAACACATCGGGCGGCCTGATCGTCAAACAATGCGAAATATACTTCTCACGCGCCTCTCTTCTCGCCGGGCTTACCCGAGACGGAGGTGAAGACGCCGATGTATCCGCCGGCGGTGATCCAGGAGGCGCCGCCGTCGACGGGTTGCTTGAGGAAGTCGCCGATGATGAGGCAGACGAGCGTGAGCTCGTACAGGCCGAACACCACCACGTTCACCACGGACAGCGTGAAGGCCGCCGCTAGCATGTACGTGTTGAAGAGGAAGAACGCCACCAGGAACCACGCCTCCGCGCCCGACACGTCGTAGTCCGCCGGCACCTGCAATGCGCGCAGCACGCAGGGAGAAGAGACGCGGGCGAGCCGGAAGTTAAGAGAACTGGCCGCGCCGCAACGAAACATAGATTTAGGAAGGGACGGTACTTGCAATACGATGCTATGACGATGCATTGTGGGGCCCCGAGTGGACTTACCCAATTCCAGAGCTTGAAGCAGTAGAAGAGGCCGAGCGACATCCAGAAGCAGCCGTAGGTGGAGAAGGAGGTGGAGGAGAACCCGCAGTTGCGCTTGTACTGCCACATGCTTGCCACGAACTGCCCCAAGCCGCCGTAGAACAGCGCCACCGTCACCCACGTCAAGTCGGGCGCCCAGCCTGCACTCACACCAAGGGAATATTTCAAGCGTCGATAAAAGGCGTCGACATTTCAAGGCCAGAGCGTGCTTAGTGGGAGAAGAAGCACTCACCGGCAAGGTAAGAGGAGAGGATAAACATTGTGCCGGCGAAGGCCCCCAGGCCGAAGGAGGAGGCGTCGGCTGGTAGCGACTTCTCGGTGATCACACGGACGTCATCGGAAAGTCCGTCCTCGAGGCCCATGCTGGCGATGAGAGTTGAAGTCTTGTTGGCGCTTGAGATCCGAGCGATGTCGAGGTGAGCAGGCAAAGTCGAAGTTGCAAGCAGAAGTGGTGTTTGTGCGTCGCAGGGATTGTTGCAATGAAGGCAAGTCGAATGAGCAGCGGGGATAAGTAGTGGACAGAGAGGTAGCGGGATGAGTTGGGGAAAGTGGGATCGCAGAAGCGGCAAGGGGAGTGAAGCTTGGTGCATTAGAGAAGGGGGGGAAGCTTGGGCCAAGCCAATTGTTGGGGGGGGGGGGGATTGGGGGGATCTGAGCTGAGCGGTTTGGCGGAAAATGCTTCTCCCACGTGCGCCACAGCACATCTGCAACCTCCGGCGAAACGCGTCGCGTGCGAAAAATGGGAGTTTGTCGAGCTGTCCTCCAGAACAGCAAAAAATTTTTCCCCAGCGTCTACGTGGCGAAACTTTTGGGACACGTGATTAACTCTGGGCAGAAAACGTCCTCGTGGCTAAGGCATCGCGCAATTTAATTGGGCGTTTTGCTTGGCCTTTCCTGACTCAGCAAGGCGTCTCATCGTGATAGATGGAGGCGGAGCCACGTGATTCGTCACTAAACGACTTTCCAAAATCCAATGCGGCAAAAAAAAGTCGTCGTGCTGGATAATATCAGCGCGGTCCGCTCCAGATCAGGAGGAGATGGCAGCACGCGGTCCGAGCCAGTTACGAGGCCTTCCGCAAGCTCTTCCCCACTTTGCGCCCTCCACCGCGAACCTCCCGTCCCCCAGTCTCCAACTTCCGCGCACCTCTCGTTCTCCCCCACCAAAGAGCAAGTATTTCTCCCTCGTAGTCTCCTCTCCTGCCATTCGATAACCCCCGATTATATTTTCAAGTGGTGACCACTGCTGCCTTGTGTCCGCTCCAGCAACCTCTTACCGCATTCTATCTCCGCAGCACCCGACCGCACCCTCGTTTCAGCCATGGCCAGCGAGACAAAAGTTGACAACGTTCGCATCGCAGTCGAGAAGGAGCTCATCGCCGAAGTCGGCCCGCATGGACTCTCGTCGTTCTTCGTTACAACGTTCGTCCTCGCCGTACATCTCACAAGTAAGCGGCTTTGAGCATTGCGCGCAGCAGCATTCTACCTTGCGCCTTTGAATAGTCGTATTATTTTCCGATTCGACTCCTTTCATCGTCTGACGGTTCCTTCTGTGCGCTTTGGGCCCTGCAGATTGGGCGCCCGACGTGATCTGGATCGGGCTGGCCGTGTTTTACGGCGGCGTGGGTCAGTTCGTGGCGGGCATGTGGGAGTTCAAGCGCGGCAACGTCTTCGTGGCCACCTCCTACTCGTCCTACGGCTGCTACTGGATGGCCGTCGCCATGCTCATGCTGCTCGACAAACTCGGCCTCGTAAGCCAAAGCCAACCCTCTCAAACCGGCCACAACAACAAACTAGTCGCTGAATCCCCCGCATTTCACGTTTTCTCACTATACCGTTTTCATTCCGTTCGTTCAGGCGGCTCCCGGGTTCGATTCTATGAAGGCGCTGGGGTGGTTCCTGACGGCGTTTCTGGTGTTCAACACGTACATGACGTTCCTGACGCTGTTGCTCTCGAAGGTGGCCTTCGTCACCTTCTTCCTCCTCGAGCTCTTCTTCCTCTTCCTCGTCATCGGCTGCTTCCGCAACGACGCCCCCGGCCACGGATGGACCGCCGCCTCCGGCTACGCGCTGCTGCTCACCTCGCTCGCTGGTACGTCCCTTTGCGTCGTTCGCTCCAACATCTCACTCACCCGCCTTGCTACCTTCGACCTGTAGGTCGTCTTGCGCGCATTTTCTCATTTCAGGATATTGAGATACTCAATGTGATGATGCCCGCTGTAGTAACTGTCAACGGTATTTATCCACGCCAATGCTGCGTTCCGCCTCATTTTGCTCACACTTTCCTTTCTCGCTTTCTCTCTCCCCCCCCAATCCCTTCCCGGATCTCCCCAGCGCTCTACATGGCGGCGGCGTCGATGTTCAACACGCTGGCCAACCGCACCGTGCTGTGGGGAGGCTCCCCCATCCTCAAGCTCTCCAAGGGAAACTGAATACACGCATTGGCGCCGCCACTGTACCTTGTCTCGGGTCCCATCGTCCTGCGTGGACAATAGGAAGCTATAGCTAATATAGGACTCACGTATTGTCTCTGCGTTGTGCAATTGCATAGCCATGTTTGCCGAATAAGGCCTTTTGTTAGTCTTATAACCTCACCTATTGCTTAATGAACCATTTGGCTCTTATGAAATTTCACCTTCTTAACCCTCCTTTTCCTTCGCGTCACCTACGGTAAGTCTACGATGAAACGAGGCGAAATACTTTAGAGAAGAAAGTGTTTGCAATAGGCGGAGGAGGTAAGGAATGTTTTGACATTCCTTACCGCGTGCTTCAACATCGCGTACAAGACCAACCGTTGTTCGCCCGTTACTGCGAACGGGGCTTCGCCAACCTTCGCGCGCTGCATTTGTCAAACCATGCATCGCTGGCCTGGCCGTGTCGGCCCACGCCTCGGGACTAGCCCGAACCTCGATGCCAGCATCGCACTAGCTAGCTCGCACGCTCCGCGTTACCGTTTGCATTTTCGCTTATAAGTATTCGCTCATGCCTTCGCTCATACTTTGTACTCGTTTGACACTCTAGTGCAATTCTCGCTACCTCGTTCCATTGCACCCGTAACACTTGGTATCAGAGCCACTTTCCTTTCGGACCGCGAATTTCCGCAACCAGCAGAACTCAACTTTTGTTTTTTCACTCAAATGGACTCACGCCCTTTAGCGTAATACCGTCATCGCCCGGATAGAAGACATATATGTCTTATCTTATACATTAGAAAAAAAGCTTGCTGTGTCTTGTAATTGGGACGGTTTAGGGTGTCTTATAATTCTTATAAATGGACAAAAAACCGTTTAGAAGATACCCCCTCGTCATAAGATTGCCCCTAACCCCTATACTGGCTTAACTCGTACACACCGACAGTTGTCTCATAATCAGGAACACCCATCTATAAGATACACCCGTTTTAACGACACCCCCTGTCTTCAATTCGACACTGTCTTATATCCGGACGATGACGGTAGGAGCCGCTGTCCTCGCGCTCTCTCGTAAGCGCGTGCAGCCACGACTGCGCCTAGCACCAAGACCGGCCGACGTCCCTCGATATGGCTGAACATGTCGACCTTGCGAGCCTCACGCAGGAACGCCTGAACGCACTGCTGCAGCAGCTGCACGAAATCTCCGAATAAATTGTGGCGCTAACGGCAGAACGCATGTCGCTGCATGACATCACATGGGCGCAACAAGCACAATTGCAAACGCAAGAAACAGCAGCACAAGGAGCACCATCCGCCGCCCAACACAAGAGCGTGGGACAACCCTCGAGTGCAATGACGTCGCACGCTAGTGATGGCATCGCACTCAATGACGTTCGCGACAACCACGGGACGACACACCCCGGGGCGACGAATGTGGCTGGGAGTCAACGTCGCGTCAACGTTGCGACACCGATCGATGAGTCGGCACTGCCTTCACCGATGTTGCTCAAGCCGCAGCGTCCGCCTTGCTTCGATCCGACTCAACGGGGTGGTCCAACAATTCATGCGTGGCTCTTCACCATGAACGTCTTCTTCAACGCGAACTACGTCGTCGGACGCAGCAAAAATCCGATACGCAGTGTCGTTACTGTTAGGACCCGCCATGGATTGGTGGCGCGTCATCGTCACGAAGCCGACTGACTACGAGCTTCTACCGCCACGGGAAGGACCAACCGGACCCTGGGCACCGTCGTATTTCTTGGAGATAGCCCAGTATCGCACGTGGGACGCGTGGTGCGCATGTCTACGTGCACGATTCGAGCCAATCACGGCGTCCATCGCTGCGCGACAGAAGCTTCGCACTTGGCGCCAGCTCGGTTCCCTCCAGGACTACACCAGCGGGTTTCTGGCGATGTGCGAGCAGGTGGGATATATGCACGAAGCGGAACGCAGTGACCGCTCTGTCGGCGGCCTGAAAAGCGACATCGCGCAAGAAATCCTGCTCCGCAACGTTACCGAATTCAACGAGATTCTCGCCATCGCGGAAAAACTCGATTTTCTCCGCCGGCCGAGACCGGGGTCCTACGGCAACAGCAGCAGCTGGGGACACCAAGCTCGTGGGATGATCGAGCACGCCACGATATGCGCCGTCGTCGCGAATGCCGCTGCCGCACCTTTCAAAGGGCGCTGCTTCGCGTGCAATCGGTCAGGGCACCGTAAGAGCGAATGCCCGGAAAATGCTAAGGGAAAGGAGGGAGCTGAACAGCAGAAACAGACCAAGCAGCAGGGAAACGTTGTGAGTCAGTAGCAGACGGGCCCGCTTCTGACAGGTCACGCCGCTCGCCCGACCCAACCGACCCTCACCGAGTTATTGTGCCGGTTCACGCAATCGACCACACCCGACCGAACAAGGAGGGTTCAACATTAGACAGTCCCATACTGCTTAGCGGGAAAATTCACACCGACTTAGTTATCTTCGTAGACAGGGGGGCTAGCCACAGCCTGATCAACACTGCCACTGCACGGAGACTGAAACTGACACTGGACCGGTGCTTACCTGAGATCGACGCGAGACAGGTCGACGGCACGCCACTGGCGATACAGGAACGCGTGGACCGAGTTCGGATTCGTTGCGGGGGTAACCTTACATTCACCCAGGAAATGCTGGCGACGATCCTCGTCCGAACCGATATTTTACTCGGCCGTGATTGGTTACGACGACACAACCCGCGGATTGACTAGACGACGAGCGACTGCACCGTGCGAGTAAACAGTAACATCACCTTACCTCGCTGGAACTCGCCCGAGTCTTCGTCGGTGCGTGTCAACGCGATCACGATGAAAAGTGCCGTAGCGGCAGGAGCTGACGTGTACGCAGTCGACATTCGGGAAGCCGAGGCAGCAGACAAACCTAGTGATTTACAAAAACGGCTCGCCGACGTACCGGATGACTTGGCAGCGCTAATATAGCAGTACAGTGGGATTTTTCCTGACGATTTGCCGGAGGGACTGCCACCTCAACGACTGCACGACCACAGGATGTGAATCAAGAAAACAGGAATGAATGACTAAGTTGGGTACAAAAGGCAAACCCTAGGCAACTGTACCCCATATGTGCTACCCCACTATAGCCTACAGTAGCTATGTCATATAACTCTGACACACCCCCATAGGCAAAGTGGGGGAGAACAAGGGGTCACAAGACCAGTCAAGCAAAGCAAAGCAAGCTCAGGGTGGATCACAAAGTCACCACACATTCCGAGCACAAGTTCAAGGCCACAAGGCCAGTTCACATGCAGGATTACATATATATATAAGGCTAGACAAGCAAGAGCAGGAGTATATATATATGCAACAGTACAACAAGGTCAAGAGGTGAGCAAGTGAGGCAAGGTAGGTACAAGACCCAGCTGAGTACAGAAGCGCTGATGATCACAAGGCGCAAGTGCCTTGGTGAAGATATCAGCAGTGTTGGCCTCAGAGGCCACGTACGCAAGTCGCAGCTGACCACGCTGCTGTAGCTCACGAGCGAGGAAGTAGCGAAGAGCAATATGCTTCGTTCTGTGCTCCAGTCTCTGCTCTCGACACAAGGCCAGCATGGCCTTGTTGTCTACGTAGAGCACTGGAGGAGAACGAGGCGGCTCTCCGAGGTCAGTCAGCAGGTAGGTGAGCCAGCGAAGCTCCTGTGCAGCCATGGCCCCGGCGTAGATCTCAGCCTCACAACTGGAGCCGAGAACAGAAGACGAGCGAGTAGCCCGCCACGAAACAGAGCCGGAACCAAGGCTGAAGGTGTAACCCTGTGACGACCGCTGCGTAGCCTGGTCGTCAGCCCAAGAAGCGTCTGCGTGTCCAGTGAGGACCACTGGACTCTGCCCTCCAAGCACAAGCCCCATGCCCGACGTACTGCACAAGTAGCGCAACACCCTCTTCGCTGCAGCCATGTGCTCCGGTCTGTGTCTCCCAGGAGCAACATAGCGTGCAAGAATGCTAAGAGAGTATGCAAGGTCAGGTCGTGTGCAGGTCATCAGGTACATGAGGCAGCCAACAAGCTCTGGGTACGGGCCACTCGACTCTACGGACTCATCCGAAGGCAGAGCTGAGAGCGAGTGGTGAGTAGGCAGAGGAGTGGCCTGAGGCGAGGAGTACGTGAAGCCGAAGCGCTGAAGGACCTGCTGCACCATGTGTGACTGAGTCAGGGTAATGGTGCGGCGTGCTCTGTCCCGGGTGATCTGCAAGCCAAGGTAGCTGCGCAGTTCACCCAGGTCTGTGCACGTGTGTCTCTTCTGCAGCTCGGACTTCACGTGGGCGAGTCCAGCAGTGTCAGCTGTGGCAAAGACCAAGTCGTCGACGTACACGAGGATGTAGAACGGCTGCAAAGAAGTGTCGGTGCGCAGAAACAGCGACGGGTCGGCAGTAGAGGGAGCAAACCCAAGAGCCGCAAGTGTAGTCCTCAGTGTGTCGTGCCACTCACGCGGTGCCTGGCGGAGACCGTAGACTGGCCGCCGGAGGCTCCACTGGGTGCCAGGAGGAAAAGACCCAGTGAAGCCAGGTGGGCGACGCAGCCAGATCTCCTCGTGCAGGCTGCCCTGCAAGAAAGCAGTGCTGAAGTCAAGAGAGTGCAGCTCGTAGTCGCGGTGAGCAGCTATGTGCAGCAGTACCCGAAGAGTGGTCATCTTCGGGGTGGGAGAGAAGGTCTGAAAGTAGTCAACTCCCTGCCGCTGACTGAAGCCACGAGCCACGTAACGCGCCTTGAAGACAGGCGGAGAACCCGGCGGCCGCTTCACCCTGAAAATCCACATGCCACTGACGATGTTCGCCCCAGGCGGGGGAACCTCGTCAACGTAGGTGCCTGTGGACTTCCAGGAAGCCATCTCTGCGTCCATAGCTGCCTGCCACTGAGAGGAGTAGGGACCCTCTATCGCCTCCGCGTAAGAGCGCGGAGTTGGGATGTCAAGTGCATCCGGGTCTCCCTCAGGGGTAAGCAGTACGGACACGAGATGAGGTGAAGCAGCAGCCAAACA